GTTATTTATTTATAATACAAAATAATCGATTACAAAATTTTTATTTTATTTTTTTTTTCAAAGTGTGCCAAAAAAGAAAAAACAGTTCACCGTAAGATAAAATAAATTCCGCCGAAATTTAAATTTTCGAAATCGAAAGATTTTTTTTTTTACATAAGTTATTTACAATATTAAATAATATCCTTACAAAAAAATAAAAAATATTTGGTACAGATATGATACCTGTACAGGAAAATAAAATAAAAAAAAAAATTAATTTCATTTACAATCGAAGATCAAAGGTAAATGTTATTTTATCGGGGTAATCAATTTATAAAAAAAAAAAAAAAAAACTGGAAAATTTATTTATCTATAACGCACGTAAATCGAGTTATAGATAAAAAAAAAAGTAATATTTATATTTATATATATTTAAGGTCATTAGGTCAGTCGTGTTCATTTTTTTGATGTGGATAAGTCACATTAATGGCCTGGAGAAAAAAAAATCAATTTTTTTTTTTTTTACATAAGTCAACCCCAATTTTATTTTTTTTTTCTCCCTTACAATTAAATATTTAAACACGGGGAATCTGGAATAATCCAAAAAAAAATTGATCGATAAATATACATATTTAAAAGTATTATTATTATTTTAATTAATAAAATTCGTTTTAAAGTAATAAATCAATATGGATAGGCAAATTACAAAAAAAAAAGTGAAAGCTACATCGATTTCCACGGAGCATATATGAAATTTAAGTTTTTTTTTTTAATACTTAAATAAAAAAGTAGTTTTGTCTTTTTAATAATAATAATAACTCGTAATCTTATTTATTTATTTATTTCCGTCAAATAAATACCTTAAGGAATAAATACATAAGAGAAAAATCAGTAGCTTTTTTAACTGCTCAGTGGTTAAAAAATTTTATTAACTTTTTTGTTTATATATTATTATACCTGTATACGCCTTTAAAATATTTCATTTAAAATATTTTCCCCCCTTTTTTTTTTTTTTTTTTTACTTTATTAATATTCATTCGAATGATTTAGTAGTTGTTTTATTAGTAGCCAAAAAAAAAAAAAAAAAATATTTCACGCTAAAATCATTAGTTTTAGTTTTTTTTTTTTTTTTTTCTCATTTTCTATGAATCATTCATTCATTACCTAACAAATTTAATTTAAATGTCAAAAATCATGTATTATTATTATTATTATTATTTTTAAAAAAAAAATTTCACCGAAAAGTAATAATTAGCGGTTGAAAAAAAAAATTTATTTATTTTTTTTTTTAAAAAAATAAAAATGATGTTAATTAATGAGAAAACGTGATGATACTTTTTTTTTTTTTTTAATAAAAATTTTATTTAATAATTAAAAGTTTATTAGTTACACTCAAAAGAAATAGTGAAATTATTATTAAAAAAATAACGAAAAATAATAAACCTCAACGTTGGTTAATTTAAAAATAACTTGTCAACAAATAATAATAATAATAATAAAATAAATAAATAAATAATTATTAGTAATCGATGCGTTACGATTTAATTGAAATTATTAGTTTTGTAATTCTCTCTATTGGATGAATTTTTTTTTATTATTGTTGTTATTTTATTATTATTTAATAATTTTGATTTATTATTATTGTTATTATTATTATTTAATTTATTTATTTTATTTTATTTTATTTTTTTTTTTAAAGTAAACAAAAACAACAGCGTCAGGTAAATGTTGTGAGGCCATTAACAAAAAAAAAAGATGGGCGTGAGATTTTTATTAATAATACAAGTTAAACGAGTATTTATTGCAAATTTATTTTTTTTTTTGCAAATATTAATAAATTTGCCTTATTAAAATATTTAAATTAATTTTTTCTAATTTTTTTTTTTTACGGGAAAATAACAGTTAAATGCCTTCAATCATCTTTTTTTTTTTTTTAATTTTTTTTTATTCCGGTTTTTTTTTTTTAAAGTACAAACGAATCTAACAGAAAAGAAAAGAAAAAAATTTATTTTATTTATTTATTTTTATTTAGGTTTAATAAGTGATGATATCTCTCAGACCGTAACAAAATCTGTCGTCTGCACTCATGAGAAAATTTTATTATATACAATTAAGGTAAGTTTTATTATCTATTTATTTATTAATTTTCAATTTTTTTTTTTTTTTTTTGTTATCATTCGTGTGATTTTAAATTAATGACGTCATTATAAAATTTATTTTAATGTTTAATTACGTGCGCGAGTTCGCATGGGAAATTTTATTTTTAGTGCATTTCTCGTTTTTTTTTTTTTCTCACAAAATTTTATTTTTTTTACATATATTGAAATAATATGAGTGTAGAATATAATGCAATGAGAACGTGAAAACATTTGTTTTATCACAGAAGTAACAATTTCCCCCCTCCTCCCTTCTCCCCGTTAAATTAAATTAAAATTAACAACTTA